GAATGGGTTTCTTGCATAGGACGCGAAAAATGAACTTACACTGGCTGCTCCAAAATATATAACAATAACTTAAACAATGCAGCCTACACTACCATTAAATTTTTTTTTTTTTTACAAAGCTTGAACCCCAGTTTAGACATTTTTAGTTCTCCATTTTAAAACATTTAAATCAAAGCTTAATTTTTTGCATTTATTATCTTTATTATTATTATCTTTTGTAACAATATAAATATATTTACTGTCACTTTTGATCAATTTAATGCATCCTTGCGGAATAAAATATTTTCAACAATGTAGCTCCAAAGATGTACACCGTTCATTGACCATGAGCAGAATAATATGCACACTGAGAGACTTGCTGGCTTTATATTTTATTTTTTAACCATTTTCACAAAAACGATATTGCTGTATTAATATAATAAAATGATTTTTTTTTTAACTGAGCCTTTTAGCCCCATTGTAAGGTTTCAAACAATTTCTCTTCATTCTCAGTTATAAGGCAATACAATTCAAATTAAACTAAAGCTCTCTTCAATCTGTTCAAAATATATTTAACGCTATTTAATAACAACTTTGGTTGTTTTTAGCGGGCTTTGCAGCAGCTTCTATAAGCAGCTTGCATGTGGCACATACATCATGAGGGCAGTAACCCGCTGAGATGAGAGAGCGACAGAAGTGCGCGTGTTTTGCTCCTGTAATGTTCCTCTGCCCGGAAACAGTGTTGCCTCGACAGCTGCGAGTGGAGAAGCGATTGGTCGCGAGGCGGCGGTTCGAGCATCGCGCGCTGTTCTGGGACGTTCTTTTAGGAGAGCGTACGTCAACCAGCATCAACATCAAGCCGCTTTGCTTAACTACATGTTTGCCTCGCAACGCGTTCGTGTAATAAAATGAACACGCGTTAAACATTTACATGTTTCAGACAAAAGCTGCAACTGGTCTGCTGTGTTCTTTTAATTCAGAACACTGTAAATATTACAAGTCTGGTTATAAACCGACTATTACAGACATATGTTATGCTAAAAATTTGTTTGAGAACATTACTAATTTATATATATATATTTTTATATACTTTTTAAATTCAGCTTCTAATCGTATATTTAATAAAACAGTATATATACACACATATATATATATAAATAAATGTATGTATGTGTATATATATATATATATATATATATATATATATATATGCTTAAACTAAGACATGTCTATCTTTTATACCAATTAAACATTATACATACTAAACCAATATCAGCCTACTAATTTTATATGCAACAGCCTAATTAGCATTTCTCTGCCGCCCCCTGCCGAACACACAGAGTATTGTCTCATTCAATACAACCCCCCCCCCCCCCCCCACCCACACTAACACACACACACACACACACATACACACACACACACTCACTCACACACTTCTAACTATTATAAACTTCTAATAATGTATAGAAATATTTGTGGTTTATGAAATATTCATATAAATCAGAATCAGATTAAGGAACCCACTGGTCACTGCACACTAAATGTCAAACAAAACAAAAACAATTGTCCTTTCCAGTCTATTCTTCTTCTACTTCTTCATCCGGGCAGCAATAATATTCCACAAAGCAAATCTGACCATCATCATTCCTCACAAGATACTGTAGAGAGAGGAAGCCTCGACTGTCAGTTCTCACCGAGACTTTACAGGACAGAGCCAGAGCCTTTGTAGAGGGTTTCAACAGGGACATCTTATACCTTTGAGAATTAACAAGAGAAAATAAATCTCAGTGACTCTTTACTGTTCTTTCACCACTTACAAGTGAATGCCTCAGAACTATAAGCAGTTCATCAGGCTGTTGTTATAAGTCTGAATTTACATATACAGAGCTATGAATGATGGGTAATGCAGTCAAAAATGTAAGTTCCTCCTACCTGTTGGTCTGGATTTTAGTACACTGGAAGAGCTCCATCATGTCGGAGTCTTTGGGATAATCATAATGAGCGTTTCCAGAATTCCCAAATGTGGATAATCTAGTGTGCAAAGGAACTAAATGAAATGTTTTGCCATTAAATTTGACTTGACAATACCACAATTCTCTTTCACTGTCAGCAATAGGCCAAATTAATGATCACATAAATGGAGTTGAAAATATATATCTATTAGTTATAACTCCTTGATTCAATTACATATACTACTGTTCAAAATTTGGCGTCAGTAACATTTTTCTTATTATAGTAATACTATAATTCAGCAAGGATGCATCAAACCAATCAAAAGTGACAGTAAAGACACTAATGCTACAAAAGATTTGTTTCAAATAAACGCTGTTCTTATTTGAGTTTTTATTCATCAAAGAATCCTGAAAAAAAGTATTGAGCAGCACAACTGTTTTCAACATTGATAATAATAAGAAATGTTTCTTGAGCAGATCAAATCGGCACATTAGAATGATTTCTGAAGGATCATGTGACACTGAAGACTAGAGTAATGAGTTTATGACTGCTGGAAATTCAGCATTGCGTCGGAGTAATAAATTATATTTCAAATATACATTAAAATAGAAAACAGTTATTTGAAATTGTAATATTTTTTCACAATATCAATGTTTTTACTGTATTTTTGGTCAAATAAATGCGGTCTTGGTGAACATAAGAGACTTCTTTAAAAAACATTAGATAACCGACCCCAAACCTTTGAACTGTAGTGCAGGCAAACTGAAGGACAAACATGCTCATCTGTTGTGTGCACTGTTACTGTACCTGAAGTAAGGATGGCTTGGTGACATAGTAATCTGCAGAACTTCACTGGTCATGTCAAGCTCAGAGAAAGCCTCTTTAAGACTGTCTGACTGCAGAATCACCTTGTTGGTTACATTTGTGCTGCAAAAGTCAAAGTCTATGGGTTCTTCCGGCTCCTGTGTATTAATCTTGCATACGGTGACCACACCGCCTTCTTCCAGGAACAAGGTCAGTGGATATCCATAGCCATTGTAGCACATTCTCAAGGCGGTGCACACACCTTAAGGGTAAAATAAAATACTTTATTTTTGTTTTTAATTCCTTTTCCCAAAAAAATGACTGGATAATCATTGTGATACACACCTGGGACTGTGCTTCCCCCAAAGATAGTAAGGCAGTCCAGAAGAACGGTCAAGTTAACCTGAAATCCAACTGTATCTTCTTTGATTATGTATTCTTGAAAGATGTCAGCCTGAGGAATCAGACACACAAATTGATTAATCCAACTTCTGTCAACCGAACCTGTAAGACACTGTCCTCCGACACTAACCTGAATGAATGCATTGGCTTGAAGGCATTTGGAGTCCTCAACAGTGACTTTTAGCCCATTCTGCGTTGCACTGAAGATGGCATGGTCCCTGAAAGAGATGGCTTTCAGGATGTTGGACAGATTCCTTGCGTTATCCAAACTGGCTATCAGAATGTACTGGTCAATGTCTGCTTGGGACTGAGTGGACAGAGGCATGGTTCTGCGTTGTCAGCATCTGAAATAACATTTACACACATAAATCCAACAGTCTCATATTTGATGCATACATTTCAATAGCCTCTAAATCAGTGACGGGCAAACTTGGCCCTTCCAGGCCACTTTCCTGCACAGATTTGATCCAACCCTGATAAAACTCACCTGCCTGTAGCCTTCTAGTAGTCTTGAAGGCAATGATTGCTGGTTCAGGTGTGTTTGATTAGAGTTGGAGCTAAACTGTGAAGGAAAGTGGCCTGGAAGGGCCAAGTTTGCCCACCCCTGGTCTAAATGGTCAACATGATCAAAATTCTGCAGTAAAAAAAACTTGCTGTACAGGTGCTATCTTTTGTCTGATTTATCTTTCATATGCTTTAAATATTTAAGAGGCCTTTTAGTATAATAGCAAAAACATTTATAAAAATACAATAATAATAATAAAATTAAACATCAAATAACAAAATAAAATAAATAAAAGTAAACGTAAGAAAACTTTTATATTGTAATATTTCAAGATGAAATACTTTTTTTTAGGAAAACTATCAAATTAATACATCACCCTTCTGAGGAACATTTATTTGTTAAGCTCTCAGAGATCATTATATACTGCATTGCATTATATGTTGCATCCCCACTATAAAACCTACAGAGCTTTGATAATTCTAAACTTCTAAATATTATCTTACTAAGACAAATTATTGGGAGATATCTGAAATTTCAATGTATTTAAACTATTATTAAACAGTAGCCTGCTATATTGATTATATCAGAATTTCATCTTGGCCATATAAAACAACTGTTCCATTCAAAAATATATTATTCTGATTATTACTTCACGTCAGGCTCGACAGGTCAAAGACAACTAACGTTACTGCGTTGCTAACAAGCTGCAACTAGCTGTTTGCAAATGATCATTTATAATGACAGTAAGTTAACCCGGTCAACTTACCCACAGAGATGGGCAAACTCTCAAGCAGGTGGTTAAAAGCAAACATTAAACATAAACAGCATATGTTTTGTATACGTTAAACCTAACAAGTATAGATATGAAATATAAAAACGTACATATTTTTTTTAGAGTTTGGCGCCCTTAAGTGGGCCTGCTTTCTCTTCTTCTGGTAGTTTTAACAGAGTTTAGTATCTCATCCGGTCCCTCGCACGCACCGCTGTGGTCAGATGCGGAGCTGCAGAGGGAGTTCATATACGGGCCTTTACAATATTAGGAGGGGTATATGGTATGAAAAGTTAGGCATATATACAGTTTTTACTCCAATCTCTCATAATTAAAATTATAAATAGCTAATTACCGTTTAACGCATATAATCATGCTTTCTTTCACTTTCAAAAATGTAAGATGTCAAAAATAAATATTTACAATGCGCTTGGACACCCCTCTCTCTCATCATGAGGTGGACCGGCCGTCACCTGGCAGCCGAGACAGTTAGAGGCGGTCAGTCAGTCCAGCAGAAGTGCCACATAATCAAACAAAAGTCAGGTAGGTTTGAAGCAGTCGCTGGTCTGTTTTACTTTATTTAAATGTCTCTTTCGGTATAATAATTTCAGGGGATAATTATGAGGAATGTAATTTTATTTTCAACAATGTTTACCAAGCTTCTGAAGTTCCCAGCGGGTCTGTTTTTGTTTATCTATCTCAATAGCAACCAGACCTTGCCAGCAACAAAGCGATATTTGTGAGCTGTAGCATTTCCCCCCTCATCTATTTAACGTTATTTAAACAAAGTTTACGTGGTTTATGTAATGTAACGGAAACGGAGTGGTAGTTCTAATTAACCAGCTAACTAGCTAATCGGTAAGCTAGTTTATTGTGGATCTGGTGACTATATATATTTTGTATGTGTTTTTCGCCACTACAGGGGCTGACAGTTTGAACGAAATGAAATGATGCTCGTGTGTTTTCTTTTAAAATATTTATGTATTTCTGTGATTTTTTTTTTAAAGCTATTATCGAATTTCAAAGGCAGGTTTAGGTCCTCTGGTCATGGCTAAAGACCCGTTGGCAGAGGCTGGTCTTCATTTTGATGAACTCAATAAACTGCGAGTGCTCGAGCCTGATGTGAGCCAGAAAACCACTGAGCTCAAAGAGGAATGTGAGGAATTTGTTGACAGTGAGTTTTACATTTTGTTCTTTATCTTATTGTGAAGTGATCTTATTCATGCAGATTGAACTGCAATTTCTTGGATATTTTTTTTCTTCCCAAAAACAGAGATTGGTCAGTTTCAGAAAATTGTAGGTGGCCTTATTGAACTTGTGGATGAGCTAGCAAAGGAAGCCGAAAATGAAAAAATGAAGGTATGGTCTTGCATTTTAAATGAATAGTGGGGCATATGTGTGTTATGTTCATTCATATTACTTCAATTATTATTCTACAGGCTATAGGAGCAAGAAATTTGCTGAAATCAGTTGAAAAGCAACGGGAGGCTCAGCAGCAACAGCTTCAGGCTCTGATTGCAGAAAAGAAAATGCAGTTGGAAAGGTAACAGTCTAATTAGGCCTGTAATCAGACTGCAAATATTGCGCTCTTAAAGGAAAAGTTCATCCAAAAAATGAAAATGTGTTGACAATGTACTAACCCACAGGCCATCCAAGATCTAGATGAGTTTTTCTTCATCAGAACAGATTTTGGAGACATTTGGCATTACATAATTTGCTCACCAAAGGATCCTCTGCAGTGAATGGGTGCCATCAGAATGAGTCCAAACAGCTGATAAAAACATCACAATCCTTCGACATATTTGTTTAGAGACCGTTTTCACTTGTAAACGGTGCTTCATCTGTGCGTTTTTATGAGCTGTTTGGACTATTATTCTGACGGCACCCATTCACTGCAAAGCATCCATTGGTGAGCAAGTGATGTAATGCCAAATGTCTCCAAATCTGTTTTGATTAAAGGGGTCCTATTATGCTTTTTCACTTTAGTTAGTCTGTAGTTGCTGATTGAGCATAAAAAAGATCTGCAAAGTTACAAAGCTCGAAGTCCACTTCAAAAGGAGATATTTTATTTAACAGAAATCACTTTTCAAAAACTACAACGAACAACTCGTTTGGACTACAACGCATATTTTCCGGGATTTGTGATATCACAAATATCGACGAATGGGACGAGACCTGGTTGAGCTGCACTAGAGAAGGCAACGAGTGTTATCACTATGTTGGAGACACGCTAGCTTTCCCAAGGCAGACGAACTTAGAGTGGTTACAATCATCCGGGTTTAAATCGCGCTCAAATTGATTTGATATTGAGGCAATATTTACACTGAAGCTCGCAGGCGGCTATGGTAAGGAGCGTGACATTTCCCGACCAGGCGCCGAGGGCTGCCAATCACAACACACACTGGCCCAGCTAACCAATCACAACACATTTCGTATTTCAGAAGGCGGGCCTTCATTTGATACAGGAACTATTCGAGCCGTTCATGCCAGACTGGGGAGAGAGGTGTTGTAATAATGTAAAATATGTGAATAATAATGTGTTTTCGAACAACCTAGTATGAGAGCCTGTTCTAGTACACCCCCAAAACAAAATCAAGACTTTGTAAACGCGCATAATAGGACCCCTTTAAGAAGCAAACTTAAAGGTGCTGTATGTAAGTTTTTGAGTCTACTAAAGCATAAAAATATCACAATACGTTTGCAGATATTTAAGAAACATGCTAAGTTAACATACTTGTTTATCTGAAAAACAATGCTAGTCAGTTATTCTCCTTTGAAAATGTGCGTTCCGGGCCGGAATGTCGAGCTCTTGTTTGGTTTGTGTTACCCGACCACTGCCAGCTTACACAATTGTATTTCGGCACCACGGGTTGCCAGTTGGCAGAAAACACAGCGTATTTAATTTAATTCATCGTCAAGTGTGCTCGTTCCTGTTGGTGTGGTCAATCTGGCAACCTGCGTGTGCGTCAAGTCTGAGGAGGAGGGACCTGGTGAAAAAAAAACCCTCCAATATTTTGAATTTGGACTGCAATACCTAGTTCAACCACTCTGTGTCAATTTTACATACAGCACCTTTAACTATACCTCAGATGGCATGAGTAAATTTACAGCTAATTTTTTGTAGTTCTTTAATTCTCGACTATATTGTTTGTTTTGCAGGTATCGAATAGAATATGAAGCTCTTCAAAAAGTCGAAGCAGAGCAGAGTGAATTCATCGATCAGTTTATACTGCAGAAATGAGTACGGTGTTTCCTCTTTCTGTTGGACAGAAAAAGTGATGCTATGCATCTTGATTTACAGTGACTTCCTAATAACTGCAGGGTCCCTAACTAGGTTAACTGAATTGAGCAGTTAATAGGTGACAACAGATGTCTGTTTCAGCCTCAGCCTCAACCTCTGACTCTATTGTGTTAACATTGAGTGCTTTTGCATGGCCAGTTCGAGGAGGCACATAGTTGTAATCTTTCCAACCACAGATCATAATCTCAGATGAATACTATTTATATACAACAAAAGTTATTTATACTATTTATACGTTAATTACTTTGTAAATCAGATATTTTTTAAAGCAGGAAAATACAGTATTTGCATGTTACTGTAAATAATTCCATCATGAGACAACATCAGGTAAAATGTTTATTTTCTGTATGATTTGTTTTTGAACTGCTGTTTGTGACTTGAACTCATCCGGTTTTATTTCCTCATATGCTCATGGGACCACAACCAAAATATTTTCCGGAAGTTATGGAAAACTATTTAAAGCATAATTCATTACATTTACTGTTTAGATCATCAAGTGTGTCATCTCAATATTTGACAAGCTTCATACAGATTTGAAGAACATTTGAATAAAAAATATATTTTTCATTTACATGTGTTGTCATCAGTAAACAATTACTGAGATCAAAAATTGCTCAAACTTGAAATAGAGTAAACGCTACATACAATTATCAAATATCCTGGCACATATTAAAATACTGAATCACATTTAACCACATTTAATTACTAGCAATTACTACAGTAGTCAACATTTGAAGTGGATCAAAAAAGTTAATCACACTTAGCCTAAGACTAGAACGCTTGAAACTTTGATGAAAGGTTTTGATCCACTTCAAATATTGACTAGTGTATAATGAATACATAGAAAGCATGAACTGTATCTATCTTTGTTTCTTGGACTTTGAGGAAGCGTTTCCTTTCAAAGAGGTTGTGTTATATGTTGAGCTGAAGAGCATGGTGAACAGTATCATGACAGGGATGATAAGGTACGGAGCATAAATGGACACCAGGGTCAGACGTTCTTGAAGAGTTTGGGGTCCCGGATGTGGCGCCAGAGGAAAGTTATTAAAAAGGACGTGACTTAAAATAGGGATTAAAGTGGTGGCCACATGAACAGAATAAATGATTGCTGGTGTCCTGATCCATTTGCATCCACCTATTAAATATACAAATACATCAATGAGCAGGAATAATTGGACCGTAGTAACTGGTATCCACTGACACAAGAGATACACCACTAGATGTCACTGTTGTGCCATTTAAAACGTCTGAATTTACAACTCATTAACACACTTTATCGAGTTTTGGTCGAACCCAACTGACCCTTCATGAAGGCGTATGCTGCAATTGGGAAAAATGGCAACTGAACGAGAGCCTCGCAGAATACAAAAGATTTGAACCACACAGGCGGGTCCATCATCATCGGATCCTTGAATTCAGCAGCATACCAGTGCAATAGGGTTTTCAGCTGTAAAGCAAGTACTCGTATTGATTTACCATTATAAGTAACCTAGATATTATATGGTTGCATTAGTGAGTGTGAAACTTACCTTGGAAGGATACAAATGTTCAGGAAGCAAAGGCTGAAGATCAACCATGAGAGTAATTGGAATGTGGGACAAAAAGTAAAAGAAAAATATAATTTCTAAAGCGCGAAGAAACATTTTGGTAAGTTCCTCCTCCGTCAGAATTCCAGCAGTAGTAGACGGTGTCAGTGGTCAGTGTAGAGTAGCGTGTTACTCCTCTGTTTCTGATTGGTCCTTCAACTCGGTCATATCTAATCTTTGTCATTCCATTGGTCCATCGGCTCGGTTGATTCCTGAAGTGGGCGGATTCCTGATTGCACATTGGCTCATGGAGCGTAACCACAAGCCTTACTAAAATTACCATAGCAACTAAAATATTTTTTTAAATAGATGCCGCAGTTATATTTAAATGGATTGGCATTAGCCAACAGTGCCATTAAAATAAAATAAAACAGACAAATATATAAATGAAAGACATTAATACACTTAAACATTATCCCACATATGGATTTGCAGTGACAACAGTGAAAAACGCCTTCAATCAAAACAATGACTGTTAAATTATGTAAACATGATTACACGTTGATTAATAAAATGTATTTTTATTATTACATATATTATTATTGTAACAATACTAAAAATAATACTTGTTTTTATAACAATTATGAAAACTGATATCAAACTATTTTATTAAATTATTTGGTGTAAATAAAAGCATGTTAATCACAACAAACACTGACTTTTTTTTTAGATTATGTTATTTTCTAAATAATCCTTGGAAACATGTCAAAAATACTGTCAGTTGGTCATTAGAGTTGTGTAATGTCTTCCTGCTAACAAATGAAGCATTTGTCAAATTAAATCCTTAAATTAAAACATTGGTCAAAAAGTATGCCTGCACACAGTTAGGTGTTACATGAGAACAAAGATAAAACTATTGCTACAGAATTCTCATAGAAATTTAAAAACAACTAGTTATATCTTTTTTTAAATTCACTTTTCCTCTGCATTCATGATCCTTTGGTTGTCAACGTCCACATAATCCTGCAACGTATTAGTAATGTTTTATCACTTATCTACAGGACAAAGGTAAAGCTTCAAAAGTAGATCAAGGACGAGTATGACTCACCCCATCACTCTCCACCACACTCTCCAGGATCTTGACAATGTCTGTAAATGAAGGTCTATTTGTGTATGGATCCATCCAGCAGTCTTGCATGATCTGTTCTCTACATTTAAAAAAAAGAAATTAACTATTGAAAACAAAAAAGCACCATATTTAAAATACTGGCAGAGCAATAACAAAAATAAAGGTATTTTTTTTCTAAATAAAATTTGTAGTATGTATTTTATAAATTTCTTATTTTGTTTATATATATATATATATATATATATATATATATATATATATATATATACTAATAAATTCATATAAAATGATATA